AATTTTAAAAATAACGATTATGACAATTGTCACTTTTTATTGTCTTCACTAAATTTATATTTACATATGTTATTAATACTTATTTTAACATATTTTCGTCAAAAAATTCAAAAAACTTTAAAAATAACTAATATGACAATGTCAATTTTCTATGGTACATCTTCACTAAATTTTATTTAAACATGTTATCAATACTTATTTTAACATATTTTCTTCAAAAAAATTCAAAAAACTTATAAAATAACGATTATGACAATTGTCACTTTTCTATGGTACATCTTCACTAAATTTGTATTTAAACATGTTTTTAATACTTATTTTAACATATTTTCTTCAAAAAAATTCCAAAAACTTATAAAATAACGATTATGATAATTGTCACTTTTCTATGGTACATCTTCACTAAATTTTTATTTAAACATGTTATATATACTTATTTTAAAATATTTTCGTCAAAAAAATTCAAAAAACTTTAAAAATAACGATTATGACAATTGTCAATTTTCTATGGTACATCTTCATTAAATTTTTATTTAAACATGTTATTAATACTTATTTTAACATATTGTCATCAAAAAAATTCAAAAAACTTTAAAAATAACGATTATGACAATTGTCACTTTTCTATGGTACATCTTTACTAAATTTATATTTACACATGTTATTAATACTTATTTTAACAAATTTTCGTCTAAAAAAATTCAAAAAACTTATAAAAGAACGATTATGACAATTGTCACATTAAAATATTATCCTTAAAAAGATCATATAAAATAACATCGAAAAAGTTTCATAAAATCCACCTCATTTAATAATAAATAGATAATTTTAAAAAAATGATAAAAGATTTCACCTAAAAGATTGTTTATTTATCTAATAAGATTTACAATATAATTCCTCAATAAAAGATGTATTTTCAAAGAAGATTGTGAAAATCACTAATAAATTATATTATAAAGAATATTACATTTTTTAAATATAGCAGCATATTATTTTTTTTATTAAAAAAACATCAAATAAATAAATTTATTTTCATTTCAAAATATAATAATATAAATAAAAAATATTAAATCATATTATGTTTATTTGTTGATAATAATAAATTATTTACATTAAATATAAATAAAATAAATTATTTTACTAAAATAAATAAATAATAATTAATACTAAGCATCGATGCAGAATTTTGACTAATTTAATTTTATCAGATTTATATAGGCTTAGCCGATTTTTAGGCTCAACCTAATTAGGCTTAGCCGATTTTTAGTTTTACCGATTTTTAGGCTTACCTAATTAGGCTTAGCCGCCTAATTAAGCTTAGCCGATTTTTAGGCTTAGCCTAATTAGGCTTAGGCGTATTAGCCGATTACGCAACACTACCCATGTCCATATCAAGCTCCCCTTCAAGGATTTTTAGAGCTTTTTTCATAGGCTCCATAACCTAAAATTTATTTATTTCACTTAGATAACAATTATATTAATATTTACTTGACTATACTCTTTAATAAATTTACGTTCTTGGGAGTTAAAATGTATAAGCCCATGGTTATCACACAACTCATCAAGGTCCTTTTGTTTTTCATCTAATATTTTATCTAGCAAAACCATAGACTCATAATACGAATTCCACCTAGTGGAATTTGGGCATATTAGATACCTACCCAACTTTCTGTTAATATCGTCCGCCATATTTGTAGACATATTTTGTTTATTCCACAAAGATTGACACTTTTGGAATAAACTTTGAGATACTATTTGAAAGCTTCTATCACCTAAAGCTTTCTCTGCGTCAACTGTTGCCACCAAATTGAGATTGTGGCAAGCACATCGTGAATGTTGAGGAAGATAATCAAAGCTTTCTGTTATATTATTTATGATATCATCAATATCCACAAATTGGAATTCATCATCCATCTTAGAACTTTTATCTTCAAACATTCTAAAAAATAAAAGGAAAGTTATAATTTTAAAATAAATATTTAAGATTACCTGAATGCTTTCACAAAGTTCCTACCATTATCAGTAAAGATTTTTATCACTTTATTCTGAATTTTAAAGCTTTTATGTATATCAATTATCATCTTGGCCAAAACATCAAAAGTATGCTTGCCTTGAACACGTCTTAGGGCTAAAGCTGCTGATTTTCTTTGCAATGATTTTGTGTCAATCCAATGAGCTGTTACACCCAAAAAAGACCTTTATAAGTTAAATTAATCAAGTACATTTAAAAATATAGGCACTACCTTCTAAATCCAGTCCAGCAATCAGCTGTGGTACACACATAAGATACTCCAGAAAGCATTTCTATAATATCATCCATCATTTTATCATAACGCAAACCTATCTTTGCTATTAGTGTTTGGCGGCACATTACCTTTGCTAAAGGATAAAACGTTTTTATCATTTTGACAAAGTTAGGATTGTCTACAGTTGATAAAGGAACTAGTGTCTCAATGACATAATCAATGATTGCATTATCTCCTTCAGTTTTTGTAGGTTCATATATTTTTTGACTAAAATTTAATATTGACTGTTTTTTCTCAGAAGACTTTATATTTTGGCTAATATCTTTTTTATTATAACTATTGATATGATTTTCAATTTTTGAATATTGATTAACATGTACTCTCTAAATATAAATTAAATTAAAATTTATTTTATAAAAATCAACTTTATTTTTAACTGATAATCTAAAACATCAAATTAGGTAGATTTTTTAAATAAGAAGTTGACAAATATTTAATGAGCAATATAAATTTCTTTTTAGGCACTTTATTTTTTTTTATTTTTGTAAATTTTTTTATTATTTTGTTTTACTTATTTTATTAATATAAAATAAAAATAAATAATTATTTTCCAAGTTTATTGATCAAAATAAAATAAGAAAAAATCAAATTAAGATTAAATAAAATATAAATTTTACCATAATAAAATGTATATTTTTAATTTGGATGTTACAATTCAATTTAAAAAAATACTTTAAATTTAGAAAAAAAATGTATAAAAAGGAGGTTGAACAAGTAATGAGAAAATTTAAATAAATATTAAAATATAAAAAAGCATCATATCTGACAACCCAAGCTCAACTAATATAATGAATTGCCCAAAAATAATTAAAACCATTTTAAAAAAATTATTACAAAATAAACAAATATTGATTTTACTTTTAAATGTTTTTTTAAATTAAAGCTTGAGATTTTAGAGAAAGATATCCTTTTGTTGTTAATACATAATAGGCATTTCGCCTTTAAGTTGACTTTATCATCTGTATAATCTATAAGCTTGAAATATTTTTTATTTGGTGGAAATGTAAATTCGGTTTCTTCTTCTATGATCTCTAAATCCATAATATCTAAAACTATTTTTTATTATATATCTATAAATAGAATATTAATATGACTTACAAAATTTTTCAAAAAATTTTCAATATAAAAAGGAAAAACTGATGTTTAATGTTTAAAATGATTAGATTAAAAATCAATATAAAACTCGGCTCAACATTTAATAATGAATAAATTTAAATAAAATAAAATTTTATTTTCATTAAATTTTAATTAACAAATATTATTAATATTTAAAAAATAATATAATTTATATATTAAATTTAAAGGAGCGGTGGAGCGGCGCTCTTCCGCTCCAACCTTAAAAGGAGCTACTCCCGCTCCCGCTCCTCATTTTTAAAAATCAGGGGCGCTCCAGCTGTTTTTGAGAAAATGTAGCGGCGCTCCAGGAGCGCAGCTCCTTAACAACTCTGAGCATTAGCTTATTAAATAGATATCAATAATTTAACAGTAAATATATTTATAATCCATAATGCAAACATTACGGTTTATAAGTTTTATTTAAATCCTACACTTATTTTGCCCATATTTGTTATAGTCATAATTGTTAAAGAAAAATGCTCTGAATTATAGAATTTTGAGAATAGATTTTGTTTCACACTTTTAAATATTTTATTTCTTTTAATTTCCAAATTTACAACATAAAAATAATATCGAAATTTTTTTAACAAAATATAATATATTTTTTAATATAATAAATAAATATTTATTATAATATAACAATAATATTTATTATAATATAACAATAATATTATTAAAATTGCAATTAATACAATTGATAAATGCTAACAAAATATAAACCTTATCATATGAATAGAATTATAGAAATATTGATAAGAATTTAGTACTAACCATCACAGGAATTTAAACCCGAAAACTATACCTCAAGCTACGCTATGGATAACACGTATATCATATTATTAAATTTTATGCATCTTATATATATGATAAATATTGAAAAGTTTTAGGGAAAAAATATAATAAAAATTTTAATATCAACAGTTTTTTTTAAAAAAAGGCAAAAAGAAAATTTTAGTGTAAATAACCCAGGAGGGCATAATAGGGCAAACTTAAAAATAGTTTCAATAAAAAATTAAAATTTTATTTAGGAAAAATACACCAAAATAAAATATAGAAGAACTTTATTGATAATAAATTAACGCATATAACAAGAATAGGGTATAAATATAACTTTATTTATAAAAAACCGTTTATTTTGTCGTATATAAGAAAAATGCTACGAGATCGAATATATTTAATAACAAATATAATAAAATGCATAAATTTACAGGCATATTTATTATTAATAAAATGAAATTATTTTAGTTATTTTTTAAGTAATTTAGCATAATATTACTATTGATTTTTATTTTATAAGGCTTCATTTTTAATAATAAATTTTGTAGGTTGAATTTTTATTTACAAAGCAAATTTCAAGAATTTTTGATTTTCTCATATTAAATTGGCAGAAATTTAAAATGAAGGGGTTGTTGTTTCTTGTTACAAATTAAAAAAATTACGATACTTGCTTAAAAAGTTATATATATTGTTATTTACCAACTGGTTGTCATGAAGCATTATCATTTAAAATATTTTATCCTTTATTGTTTTTATAAGGTACGGTTTCGAGGAATCCATTATTAGCAAAGAATCTGTTTATATAAGTTTGTATAATTATATATATATTTATATGGAACAAATAAATGAAAAATCTAACGAAAAAAACGAATCATTTAATAATCCCGATATTAACGTTGACAAAAAAAATTTAAAAAAATTGAAAAGGAAGAAAAAATCTAAACATAATGACAAAGATGAAATACCACTAAAAGAAAATTATACAAAACACGTTAAAATTTCTAATGAAGCTCACAAGTATTATTTAATATAATATTTATAAAATAATTTACAATATTTAGCTCAGGTGATGAAGATAATTTAGATATTAAACCACCTAATTTATATAATTCAATGCCAACATATAGAGGTATTACAAATTTATAAAATACCATTACTTAATTTAAAATATTTAATTAATTAATTTTTTGCATCTAAGAAAAAGATTATCTAAGAAGAAGGGATATACCCTATAATTATAAGATCTCATTACATAGGTATTTTATTATATATTAGCTTGTATTATTCTTTAATTAGGGAAAGAAATATTGATAATAAATATAGATTGCAACAAAACAAAAGAATATTCAATGAAAGTCAATACTCACCAGATAGATTAAAATATGAAAGTATCTAATCATTCAATTGAAAATAATTTATAAATATTCACCCTAAAACTAATTTTACTCTTATGCTGTAAAAACAATATTTTTCTTCAATTTCTAAGATGCTTAGAACTTTTAATGCCATAATATTTATTAAGTTTTTAACTAAAAATAGCTTTCCAAATAAAATATTGGTTGGTATTTTTGGTTTAACTTCACTTAATATTGTTTCTAGTTTATGAATTACATCTTAAATAATCATTGATATCTCTACATATATTTGTGATATGAAATGCATATTTATTAATAATGCCAACATGTTAATTAAAAATTATTTTTTAAACCTTTTTAAAATTATATCCTCAATCAAGCAGTTAGTTGGATGATGTGGATGCTCTGATCACTTGGCCATGGCCATTAAATCTATCTACTTCTGATGTGTCATCTATTGTGGAATAATCTAGGACGATATGTCTTCTTCAATAGTTTCCTCCATCTCATTCAGGTCATATGTCATCACTCCTGTTTTTTTCTGGACTCCCAATTTCTGCATCATTTTTTTATTGTAATTGGTCAGCATGCTTCCTAACAACTCTAGATCCAGGCTCCACCTTGTAAGAATAAAATCTATTCCTCTTTACAATAGGCCCTTCTCTTCATCCTAGTTTTAACTCATTCCTATCCAAACTGGTCCCATATCATTCTTGTTGCTCTGTATTCCTATCCTGGTATTCCTTGCTTTTTCTATTACTCTCTTCTATCTCTTTTATTGGATTTGATCTCAATCAATCTAATTTTGGGTTTAAATCTTTTCCTAACATTAACCTGCTGGAGATCTCCCAGTAGTAATGTGAACACTCCTTTTTATTTGATCACAAGATTTTTTAGTATTATTTCTCTTTTGATGAACAATATTTTCATTTTAGTGTACATATAGTTGTTCTATCTGGCAAGGTTAATGTTACAAAGAAATTTAAAAACCAATTTAAATTGGTTAAGATTAAATCCAATAAAGTAGACTGAAGAGAGTAAAGAATGAGCGAGGAATAAATACCATGATAGGAATATAAAACATTGTGAATTACAAAATGGACAACTTGTTTTATGATAAGGAATGAGTTAAAGCTGGAATAGAAAGAAAGGTCTATTATGAAGAATAGATTTTATTCTTATGAGGCAGAGTCTGGAGCCATTAGGAAGCATGCTGTTAAATCAATCAAAAAATATGGCGAAAATTGGGAATCCAGAAAATGAAACAGAAAAATGATGATACATCACTTAAATGAGTTGGAAAAACTATTGAAATGGAAGACATATTTACCGGAGCTTAATCAACAATGGGTAGACTATCAGAAGTAGATTCAATAGCCTGTCTAGAATTGACTAAGTAGTCACAGGGCCTGTCATTTGACCAATTGCTTGATTTAGGAATTATACATTTTTATTGTTAAAATATATTTTTATTAATTATTTGGATATGTTATATATATATATGATATTTGGTGGTTAACATGTTGTACATTATTAATAAATATATGATTTGTATATCACAAATAATAGTAAAGAAAAACTCAGGGTTATTTTATTATAAACCTTAGCAGCATTAACATTAAAATCATCATGCTCAATCTTCTCCTGGTAGAGAGAAGTCTTTATTAGTTTAAGATAAGAATTGCATTGCTTAACTGAATTATTCAATTCCAATCATTATTCAAAAATAAGTTAAAACATTAGAAGTTGTATGGGCTTATAGATGGAGCCCAAAGTTAAGGTTAGAATTGAACAAATTTATGTCTTTCTAATTATTGCAAACTGGGCTAGATAACTTTTACAATTTTCAAGGGTTTGGCCAAACCAAACACTTGATCATGGATCAGTTCAGGCTAAGCTAGCCCATGTCAATCTCTATAGTGCATTATTTTTGTTCAAATTGTTTAAATGAATCAAATAATTTACTATTCATATTTATGAATTAGAAAATTTACTATTTATATTCCATTTCTTATTTTTTTTGATGCATTATCACTCTTCTTATTTAGCTAGATACTCAATGCCAATACCAAAAATAATATTTAATGTACCTTTTTTTAAAAAAATATTCAGGCAAGATAGACTTGAATTTAAGCCATATTGATTTGGAAATAATTTCTAAAATAAAAAATGACAATACTACTAACCTAGACTGCCAATTCATCTATTAAAGTTGAACATACACTGAAGCCAGTGATAGGCAGTAACATTTACTGTAATAGCCTTGAAAAGTTGTTTTTTTAAAATACCTTTCACTTGTCTCGATGCTTTTCAAAAGTTATTTTCAATGGATGTATATTTTTTTTAATGAATTAATCGTCACTCTTGGTTTTAATGCAATTAGGCCAGATGGACTTGCTCTTAACTTAACAAAATTATTTATATTAGACAGATGACTTGGTTTAAAAAAATATTTACTATAACAAAAAAGTATGGGAAATATATTAATAATTAAACTATTAATATTCTAATTTATCATACTTGTAAATGTCTAAATTCAACCTACCAAAATAGTTGGATGAACTTGGACCTAATTATTATTTATAATATTTGCAGACCTAATTATTTCTATCAAAAATTTTCTGGGCCATACAGGGCTGACAATTTTCAAAATTAGAACTAGCTTTAATTTTTTTATTGTTCTGACAGAGCATGATTCTGGGCATGAGGAGATTTCTTGATTATCACTAATTGTACCTCAATCCCATAATCCCATTTATGTGTTCTACTTCAAACCTGGTCAGAGTTTTTTATTCCCTGTGTGTCTACAGAGTGTTCCCTGCTATTTTTATCCTTGTTTGCTTATATATAATTTATGCTATAACTAGACTCACATATGCTCTTAAAATCTTCTCATTTCACTCTATCCCAAACCATTTCACAAAACACATTTATTAAATTTGTATCAAATAAAGATGGGCCATTCTCATAGGTAACACTACCCTATGTCATACCTGTATCCTAACCCACGCATCGCATACATATCTTTTTCTCCCATCTCCATATTTCAATCTTTTCCAAGGTTTTTATGTTACCTTTAGAAATTTCCTCTTCTATAGGGACTGACTGGCATCATTGATCTTGTTGAACCTGTATTGAAAATTTAAACATGTATTGTTTATTTTTATATTTATTGCTAAAATAAAAAAATCTTGTCATTATTTGGCGAGTAGCCACAGTCCTTCATACACATTTACAACATAAAACTTGTTACATGCTGCCTGTATTTGTTTCAACTATCTTTCTGTCGTTTCAAAATACATTGCTAACTTGAATGCGTAGTACAGTGCAATCTTCCTTTTTAGTACAATTCTTGTTTGTCTTTATTATTGTATCCAAGGATAAACTAATCTTATACCCTAGCCTTTGCAGAATCGGTTATGGCGAATTGACAATTGATAGCTGTTGCTATCAACCTTCTATGGATTCTATACACAAGATTCCTAGTGTTGTCAAATGGCCCAATTTAGTTTTAAATTAATATTTTAAAAAATAATAATACATATACTTCGAGATTGAATAAATGTCCAAATATTTCTGGAGTAAAATTTTCAGGCTTTCCTAATATTTTATGCTAAAATTTTGAGCTAGCCATTTAATAATACATCTTTCAATGATATTTCCAAATGTAAATCGTTTTTGTAAGGGGCAGTTTTAAGAGTGAATATCTTTAGCAGAGATTTTTAATTCCTTCAGCTAAAGTTTATAAGGATCCAGTGGGGCAAGGATTTCCTTTCTTAATATCTACCCGTTCATGGATGCTATCAAATGACTTTTATTATCTCTTAATCCTTGAGTATTTGGAGAATTATGAGGGCATTGAATTGTCTTAGGTAGTTGACAACATCAATACCATCAAATAAAATCATAATTTGATCAAAAAATATTAGGTTTTTGTAATAAAAATATTTTGGCCACCATTTATTAGAAAGTATAACTCATTTATTAAGTTCAAACAAATACCTTTCTTGTCCTTAAAATTTCAATAACATTGACATTTTCATTCTAATTACAATATATATATTTTATAAAATAATTTAACTAACCTAAAATGAAATTGAAATTAAAATATCACCTTTGGACATTATTTAACATAATTATAATTTATGTAATATGTTGTTACTCGCAACAAAAATAACTAAATTTTGTTACTAACATTAAAATTAGTCAAGTTGGGAACCTATATTAAAAATCCAAGATAAACAAAATATTGTATAGATATTGGTTCAAAAACCTTGTTTAAATAAATATGGAATATTGATTTAAAAAAATCCTTAATTGTATTTTTAAATAAATATATATATGGAAAAAAGCTATAAAGCAATATTGTTTTAGAGAACTGAACCTAGATATTTTTCCTGATTACTTTTTAAAAGATAATTCTAAATTCTAAAAAGGAAATTGAATTTTTTTTTGATTTAATCACTAATCTTTTACAAATCAATACTAAGCCAATCAAATAAAAAAATAAACAGTATGATTATATTTCAACACAAAATATAAGAAAAAAAAACACTGCAAAAAATTAATAATATACAAAGAAAAATAATTAATAAATTTTTGAGATTCTTTATGCGCATTCAACTCTTTAGTCACAGACATGCTTGGATAGTAGGTTCAAAATAATTATATATATTTTTGAGATGCATGCTTGGATAGTAAGTTCACCTAGTGAACAACGTTGAGCAGTTATAACATAACCCCTCTGAAAACATCCTATCAGAGTTAGTCAAGGTTGCTGGAATTGCCAGATAATCTTTGGCGATTTTTGATAATATATGATATTAATTTTGGTTTAATTTCCACCTTCAAGGGGATTTTTATCTTGGAAATGGAGGCTTCATCAATATATTTACTTGACTATAATTTATTATATTAAAATATTAATCTTAAGATTGTCTCAGTATATACCATAATTTTTAATAATATTTAGAAATTAATTAAACTCATATACAGAATATTGTAAAATATAAAAAAATAAATTTATTTGACCTTCGTAGCTTATATGAGACTATGCAGACCCCCTTTAAAATAACAATAAAATCTTAAAATAACAGGTTAAGTCATTTTATTAGAGTTTATTTAGTATTTGTATAAAATATGAAAGTTGCAAATAAATTAAATTTTAAGATATGAAGTATCTAAATTTTGGTCTGAGGGAACCACATTCATGTTATTTTCACCTGTGTTATAAGGGTTAAAAAATAATTATTTAAATTACAAGTAAATATTTTTTATTTTAATCCCAATCAATTTGATTAAATCATTTCAACTCGAATCGATCAGTTTATTCTGTTTTCATAATAGAGCTTCCTTCTCGTTTCCATGGTTAATGACTTATTCTACCTTAGAGCTCGTGTCTGCATATTTTTTTTCTTCATATAAAATACGTATATATTTTAATATTCGCTTCGCTCGGGCTTTGCAGGTCTCTACAAGGGTGTGCTGATGTCACTGATATGAAAGGGAAGCTTAATGTACAGTGGTCTATCATACATAAAAATTCATCTGCATTTTCGTTCCTTGTTTGTGCTATTTTTAAAATTGAATGTTGAATGATCCCACTAAATATAGATTAAAGCTTTAAATACATTTATGGAACAATTTAAAAAAATATATTTCAATACTCATAATAACACAATATTAAAAAATAATTCAATTATGCACTATAAAGTAAAATGTTTCTTATAACATCAGATCTCATTAAAAATTTTAATGTAAATGTATTTTACAATTTTTATGATATTGCGAAGAGATTTGAAATCACAATGATTTAGATATAATTCTAGTTTAAAAAAAATCTACACGATGCTTATAAGAAACTAAAATAAATTGCACACGATTGATGTTTTCATCTCTAATATAAAGTAATTTTTAATTTTCTTTACTGATAAAAAATTTTATTTATCTAGAAAGAAAAAAGATTCAAAATGGGTGTTTATTAGTTTAGGATTAATTAGTGCTGTAAACATTTCTAAAAAAATCGAACGCGTTCAACGTTTGACAAAAATCGAACGCGTTCACATTCGTTCAAAATTTTATGATAAATTTTAAAATTTAATTTAATATAAATAAATGTCTTAAATTTTTAACACAATATATTAACCATGTTAAAAAATAATATAGTTTTATTTTGACATTATAATTTAAATATAATATAATATAGTGAATAAAAAGATATTTTTTATTCATAAAAAATTGTTCATATTATTATAAATTAAATATAAATGATAAATATTTTTATAATTACAATTGTTTTTCAATTAGCTATATTAAAAACGCTCTCTACAGGGGCAGATGAGGGGATTGCGGTATTATATTTAATAAACAACTCTTTTAACGAGGGGCATTTATTAAAAACATTTATTGATTTGTCTTTTGCTTCAAAAAATTGAGATACATCTCGCCCAATCCTCTACTTCCTCGTTTTATATTAAATATTTTTATAAAAATATTAAATTAGTCATTTATAGCATTTTAATATTGTAAATAAAAATATAAAATCCTAGGTATAGTAGATTCAAAGAAATAATTTTTATATTAAAACTTTTATATCATATAAAAGTTAATTATTTCTACAATATAAAAATTTATACTTTAAATTGTGTTCAACATTTAAAATATAAAATTCTTGATTAAAATAATAGTGATTAGATTATAATTTCAAAAAATGACATTGAAAATAAATTCTAAATTATATCAACAATTTTCTATCTAATTACATAATATATAAAATTTAATAATTTTTACTTAAAATATATTTAATTGGCTATTTAGTTATATTAGATAAAATAATTAATATTACAATTAAATGTTTTAAATTGGAACTTGAAGATTTTGAATAATACTTTTAAGGCACATTTTACATTTGATAAGTATTGAATTAGTTCCTTCAAGGATGTTACTGTAAAATATTTACCATATTTGGGCCATGGTAATGTTAATTCATCTGATTGTGATTTTTCAGAATCAGATTATGATGATGAAATAAATATCCATAATCTATTAAATTAATATATAAACAATAATATTCAAATTAATAAAAAATATTTGTAAAATTGAGCGAACGTTAAATTCGAACGCGTTTGTCAAAAAAAAGAACGCGTTCACGTTTAAAGTTCGTCAAAAATAAAAGGAACCGTTCATCATTTTTCCAAAAAAAACGAACTTCGTTTGCGTTTACATAGGATTAATTATAAATACTTTTTATTAATTATGCAACTTAAAAATGGTTATATTTATTTGCTAATCAATTTATTAATATATTCTTTTTTAAAAACAATGAAGAGGAAAGGGGACACAATTTGTTTTACAAGCATTACCCCCCTACCACATCTGCCCATTTATACTCATCAGGCTCGTCCACTCATTCTTCCCCAGTAGCCATCAATAACCGTGTTGCTATCATCGACAATCGGTCACCTTCACATAAAGCATATCACAGAAGTAGTTATAAATTGGCTTCATCGGATAATACCAAAGACAGCTTAAAAAATAATCAAAACCTTACTATACCAACTCCCCAAGAATTATCAAACACTCACAATAAAAGCGATAAGTTGGAAAAAACTGAACGCAAACACAAAAAGCATCGTCACAATCGAGAAAAATATGGCCAAGAATCTATGGATAAAGATAGGCGAAAAGACAAAGTGAGTGCCACCATCCCACAAAATAAAATAGATGTACAAACAACAGTTTCGCACAAAACCGAAACAGAAATGAGACAAGCTCTTCTCAGCAGAGAAGATAAGCTTTATAAGAGGCCTGCACATTTTCAAACATTAGATAGCAAACGTGCATCAAAAACGATTCAGAAGGAAGAAAATAAACTTTATACATTGAAGGTATTGATTAATTTTTTTTACGGTTTTTAAATTTTTTATAACTTCTAATTATTCTTTTAAAATAAGATATGGGAATTTTTTTATAGATGCTTAAAACCCGAAATAATATTGTAACTATTCTCAAGAGCTCTGAATCTATGATTTTAAAAATTTGTCATCGATCAGATATTTTTTTTAAATAAAGCCACGAAACAACCGAATCGGAAAAAATATTTGTCAGACCTGGTCCCAATGAAGATTATAAATCAAGGTTTAGCCCAACTGAGAATGGTCCCTTGATTTTTTTTGATTAACTAAAAATCTCTTCCGCCATATACTTTTTTTAGTAATACACAAATTATGGATTTAATCAGGAATGTGACGACAAAAATTTTAGCCGGGTTCAGTTCATGGTAAAAAATATTTAAGTCGGTTCGGATCTAGTTCAGGGAAATATCTTTGAACCCGGGGTTGTCCTGGTTTAGGAATTTTTGAATTGATAAAAAAATTCTATATTTAAATCATAATTAAAAAACTAGTCATAAATTTGGCCTAGCGACATTTTATCACGCGACACTTTATCACGACTACACTTTATCACGACTACACTTCACTCAGTCATTTGATAACGCAAAATTTCATCATGCGACATATGAACACGCGACACTTTATCATGATATACTTAAAACTTTTAATATAATATATTTAAAAAGTTAAATTTTGATAATATCTCATTTTTTGACTTTTCCGTTTAAATTCCGATAATTAAAAAATTTTAATTCATTTTTTTGCATTTTTTTTATTGAGAAAAACTCATATTTTTATTTTCATAAGTATAATTTTTTTAACTTAATTATCAAATCGAGCCATTTAACAACACGCATCATTTTTTTTTCATAAAAGTATGAATTTTTGAAATTCAACTAATTTATTTGGACAAAAAAAAATGAAAAACCTTTTATTTACGAAGATTTATTTTATAATTTTATATAGAAAAGCACCATTCCATTTATTTTATATTTAAAATCCAATTGTTATTTTTTCTTTCCAAAATTTTTAAAGTTTTAGCCAAAAAATTTTAAAATTAAAATTTTATGTTCTTTAAAAATAAAGAACAGGAGATATGGGCAATAAGTATGATTTCAATTTATACTTTTTTTTATTAATATGTAACTATATATCAATATATCACGAGTAAAAAGTATAAATTATTTATAAAATATTTAATTGAATAAAATATGGGCAATAGCTTTTAACAATTTTAAAGAATCAGATAGTCCATAATTCGAAACACATATGAAATCGTTTTTTAATATCTTCAAGTGTTGTTCCCAGTATGGCTTGAAGATATAGGGCCTTATGTTTTTGCATATCTTTTTGAATCCCATCTAAAAATTTCCAAAGCGTTGGGTAAGAACATTGGTATAGGGATTAAATTCCATAATGCCACCTTTCAACACAATTTGTTGTTAGGGCGACACCTTCTAACGTTGAATTGTGTTTGTTCCATAATTTTACATTATAGAGAGATGCTGCAAAATTATTTCGTTGCCCTATAAATATATAAATTTACAACAAAAAAAATATTTTTTAATTTTTAATGGTCGCGTGATAAAGTGTCGCAAGATAAAATGACGCGTGATAAAGTGTCATCGTGATAAAGTGTCATCGTGATAAAGTGTCGTGGTGATAAAGTTTCCTCATGATAAAATGTCGTCATAATAAAGTGACTCCAAATCATAAATTTAGTATAAATATATTTTATTTAAAAATACAAAGCATAATCATGTAGCAATTTTAAAAATTTTATTTAGACGTATTAGCATAATATCTTCCAAGAATTGTTCGCTCATCTTCGATCTATGCAGTGAAAGAATTAATTTCAAATTTAAAAAAGATCTTTCAACGCTCCTTCATTAAATATATTTATATGAATATATGATAAATTAACTTGGCTTGAAGGAATAGCAAATAAGATTTTGGATAAAATTTATAAATCAGGGTGCGGCAGCTTAGCAGACTCCCAAAAATACAAAATATTTTCCCTCTTATCCAAACTTTTAAAATCATCAAAATAAATAATAATCGTTCCACTACTTTTCTCTGCAATCGTTGGCCCTCTTTTAAGTATTTTCTCTTTCTTTGTAACAATTTCTCTAAATCATCTTGTTAAAATAACTTCATCCAAACTATTGTTATCAGAATTAACAAGTTGCCTTTTTGCACAAACTATTCATCATCATTAAGTAATATCCGTATATTTAAGGATTTATACCGTTAACTAGTAGATAGCCCGTCAAAAATGACGGGGAATGAGAATTTTCTTCTTACTTTTATGATAGTTGTTACCTGTTATTTGAAAATAATATACAATTTTTATTCTTTTTGCCCCCCCCCCCCACTTTAGGCCAGATTCAATCCATTAAAACTAAGTATAAATACTATGGTTTGAGTAATAATAAATTAAAAACTTTTACTTGATAATACCAATATTATTTGTTAAATATTACTGATCACTTATACCTAATATTTAATTTTTTAAAAATTCCCAGGCAAAGTACAAAGCCATAATAATTGCAAAAAATTCTTCCAAGCTAAATGAAAATAATAATTTTGGTAGTTGAGAATTAAAATAAAATATTTAAATAATCATAAAGAATTTATAATACAATCAAAATCAGATTTTCATGGGCTTAGTTTTTTTGATCAGGCCGAGCCCAGGCCTGCAAAAAAATTTGTTTTAGGCCAATATCTACCCATAGTTAATAATAAATAAAATTCTCAAGCGTCTAAGCTCATAATAATTTTTCCAGCCCAATATAATTTATAAAAATATTTTCCAAGCCCAGCCCAACCCATAATAATTTTATAAAAAAATTAACTTATCCAGGTAATTTAACAAAAAATGATTGATATATAATTATAAGCAAGTTTCTAAAATAGTGTAATTATTGTAATGTATAATCCCTATTTTGAATTATTAAACATATAGTCGAAAAAACGCTATATTGTCCATTGTCACAAATTAACAGAGTTGTTAAAGAATCTAGATACAAGTATCTAGATATAAAAATGTGGTATCTGTATCTAGATAGATTTTTGATTAAAATATCGGTATCTAGATATTATTTTAGACGATGTATCTGTATCTAGATCCATTTAAAAAGTATCTTTTAACAACTCTGCAAATTAAATATACTGTAAATCTATCAAATTTAAATCCTTATATTGGCCCATTTAAGGGTATCCTCTCTCTGTCATAGTAAATGTTTATCAACATATTGACCAATAACTACCCTTATTTAAAAATCTGGATTGGGTCATAAAATATCAAAAATTAACATCCAGATTGCACCAAAAAATTTGGGCCAGGCTTGAAAATGTAATTATTTTTTTCCATACCTGGGCTGTGCGTATCTTTGATAAATATAATATAAAATTTTGAAATATTATAATTGTCCTAATTATAAATTAAATAAATAATAGTCTTACAAACTAATATGATTATTCTAATAATTGTCAGATTATTAACAACAAAAATGTATTATTTCATTAATAAAAAATCCTAACTATATTATAGGAGTCTGTGGATATAAGACGACGCCATCCTAGTCACAGTGATATAGAAGATGATGTAGAATTAAATGAAAACGAATTTGAGGAGAATGGGTATTTTAGAATGATACCTTCTGAAGAGGAAAATGAACGGCTAACTGTGTTAGGCAATTTGTTGCAAGAAACGGGAGAGGATAATAAAGATGTTGATATGATTTATGAGAATGCTTCAGAAGAAAATAAAGGTATTTTTTTGATTATTTTTTTTTTAAATATAATTCTGACTACTTTATTATAGGGTTAGGCTAATTGTTAGTATTTCTAAAATATTTTTTTATAGCTATATCCCGCTATTTAAATAGAATGTGGGGACATGTTACCATCATTACTGAAATAACTGGTTAATTAATTTAGGTGAAATAATCTCTAAAATAAAATATTTAATAATTAATTTTTTTTTATAAAATCGGGATTTCTTTCCTGTTGAAGAAATTATCCCAACGCTGATCACATGTAAACTAGAGAACAAGTTTTCGCCAAAATCAATAGATCGGGTATAGTGTCTTAAATAATCGCACATAGACATATATATTATTTGCCTATTTTATTTCTTTCACGAACATATTCTCAACAAAACATTTTACAGAAATAACAATATTTTGTGTAGTTTGTTGTCTTAACTCACCTCACATATAATAATATAAAATATAATTATAGATATCATTTAAATCAATTTTAATGAAGTAACTTATCAATTTAACAACTTAATTATATCTATTGTTTTAATTTTAAATATTACAGTGTTTAGAGTTTAAAAAAAATATTGTAGATTTTTTTTTGAATAAGAAAGATCTTTAATCAAAAAATTATATTAACTTTTCAAAAATTTTTGAAGATTTTTTTTAAACTTCGATTTTAGGGCACTCATTTTATAACAGGTATTTTGTATATTTATAGAGATGAACACCAATATTTTTGAAATGGTCAAATAAAAATTATATATTCGAAATGGTTAGAAATAATATATAGAATACGATTTGGAGTCGCTTTATCACGCGTCACTTTATCACGACGACATTTTATCACGGCGACACTTTATCGCGACGACACTTTATGACGACGATACTTTATCACGACGACACTTTATCTTGCGACACTTTATAACGATACTTTATCATGCACACTTTATCACGCCTAAGAAATAAGTGTGGTGTTTTTATAAATAATTTATATTTTTTACTCGTGATATATTGATTTATAGTTACTTATTAATAATAAGTAAAAATTGAAATCATTCTTATTTCTTATATCACCTGTTTCTTTTTTTTAAAGGACATAAAATTTTGATTTTAAAAATATTCTTGGCTAAAAATTTGACAAATTTTGAAAATAAAATAAAACGGAAATGGGATTTAAAATATAAAATAAATAAAATGGTGCTTTTCTAGATAAAATTCTAAAATAAATCTTAAAAATATTCGTTTGAAAAATTATATTTATATTGTATTTCGTAAAATAATAGATTATAAAAGGTTCTTTTTTTGTTCAAATATATTAGTTGAAATTCAAAAATTCAAACTTTTATGAAAAAGAAGAAAAATGATGGAACTTAGTGTTGTTAAACTGCTCGATTTGATAATACTTATGAAAATTAAAATATGAGTTAATACAAAAAAAATTAATTAAAATTTTTTAAATATCAGAATTCAAATGTAAAAGTCAAACCCCCCCCCCCTCCCGAGACCAACACCAGCCTACTTAGAGTGATAATTATTATTTAAAAAATGAGATTTTATCAAAATTTAACTTTTCAAATATATTATATTATGTTTTAAGTATATTATGATAAAGTGACCTATGATAAAATGTCGCGTGTTCAACTGTCGCATGATAAAGTATCGCATTATCAAATGACTGAGTGATAAAGTGTCGTCGTGATAGAGTGTCGTCGTGATAGAGTGTCGCGTGATAAAATGTCGGTGGGCGATAGAATAGATATGATTTTTGCTATTGATTTTAATTTATACAATTAAAATGCCATATAAGATAAAATATCGCAATATTCGATATTCATTTTATATTGGGTGTTTTGCATAAAGCGTCTATATTAGTGATCTGCAACGGGCCTATTTTATCAAGCCCGGCCAGGCCCGATTTTTTTTTTAAAAGTTTTATCGACTCGACTCGAACCCGAAATTTTTTTTGAAAAGTTTTACAGGCCCGGCCCGAATTTATTTTAATATAGAAATTAATTTTTATAATTACTCAAAATAAAAGATATGTTATATATATGGTGTCTGGTTTCTATAAATAAAATCAAATATTTTTATTTTACATAAAAAATTCAACATAAAATTAATAAAATATTAATTATTGACTGACCACTTTTTTGGGCTAATTCTTATATTTATTACAGAAACCTGCAGCCCGGGTACAAAAAAAAATTCCAAGGCTTGACCCGTTCCAAGGTCCACCCGACCCGGTCCGAATTTTTTAATGAAAGATTAGTGTTTGAAAGAATCTTATTTATCTTATTGTTGAGAAGTATTTTAAATAATCGGATTCGGGCTGGGCTATAATAAAAAATTTGGGCCCGGTCGGGTCGGACCCTGGAAATTTTTTTAAAATATATCTAAATTTATCATTTTATATTAAATTTTTTATGTAAAATAAAAATATTTTATTTTATTTATTGAAACTAAACGACATATAACATATGTCTTTTATTTTGAGTAATTATAAAAATTAATTTCTATATTTAAATAAATTTGGGCCGGGTTTGAAAAATTAGGCCCGGTGCAGATTACTAGTGAGAAGTATCTTTTATTTATCTTATTGGTGAGAAATATCTTTTATTTATCTTTTATTAAATTCATAATTTTATAATTATCTAATATTCAGTGTGAATTAAAAAATATAAATTACCGCCTAGCGACATTTTATCACGCGACACTTTATCACGACGACACCTTATCACGACGACACCTTATCACTCAGTCATTTAATAACGCGACACTATCATGCGACATTTGAACCCCGACACTTTATCATGATATACTTAAAACTTTTAATATAATATATTTAAAAATTTAAATTTTGAAAATATTTCATTTTTTTTAAATTCCGATATTTAAAATTTTTTTGCATTTTTTTATTGAGAAAAACTCATATTTTAATTTTCATAAGTATAATTTTTTTTAACTTAATTATCAAATCGAGCCGTTTAACAACACTAAGCATCGTTTTTTCATAAAAGTTTGAATTTTTAAAATTCAACTAATTTATTTGGACAAAAAAAATGAAAAACATTTTATTTACGAAGATTTATTTTATAATTTTATATAGAAAAGCACCATTCCATTTATTTTATATTTAAAATCCAATTTCCGTTATTTTTTCTTTCCAAAATTTTTAAAGTTTTTAACCAAAAAATTTTAAAATTAAAATTTTATGTTCTTTAAAAATAAAGAAACAAGAGATATGGGCAATAAGTATGATTTCATTTTTTTATTAATATGTAACTATAAATCAATATATCACAAGTAAAAAATATGAATTATTTATAAAATATTTAATTGAATAAAATATGGGCAATAGCTTTTAACAATTTTAAAGAATCAGATAGTCCATAATTCGAAACACATATGAAATCGTTTTTTAATATCTTCATCTGGTACAGTGTTGTTCCCAGTATGGCTTGAAGATATAGGGCCTTATGTTTTTGCATATCTTTTTGAATCCCATCTAAAAATTTCCAAAGCGTTGGGTAAGAACATTGGTATAGGGATTAAATTCCATAATGCCACCTTTCAACACAATTTGTTGTTAGGGCGACACCTTCTAACATTGAATTGTGTTTGTTCCATAATTTTACATTATAGAGAGATGCTGCAAAATTATTTCGTTGCCCTATAAATATATAAATTTACAACAAAAAAAATATTTTTTAATTTTTAAGTGGTCGCGTATAAAGTGTACGATGATAAAATATCGTCGTGATAAAGTGTCCTCATGATAATGTACAGTCGTGATAAAGTGTCCCATGATAAAGTGACTCCAAATCATTTTATTTATCATGTTACCACCAGCCTTGCATGGCTCTAAACACATACACATTATATTATAATAAAGAAGTGATTAGAAATAGAATATATTTTGATTTTGAGATATATTATAATTCCTTCATTTTTAAAAAAATCATCGCATCTGGCTGGGTTTAGATCATAAAGTTTTTGACCATTCGGACCGAAAAATTTGAGGTCTCTAGTACCTACTTCAAAGATGAGGAGGGAAAAGATATCTGGGTGTATCCATAGCATATGAAACGAAGAATTTAAGTGTTTCCTAAATCAAATCGGTAAGGACTATTAATTACTTAAATTAATCGGTAAATCGCCATTTTATAATGGATAAGCGGAAAATAATTCCCCAGAAAAAAATCCCCAATTCCCCGGAATTGATTTTCTCAAAATTTTTAAATATTTTATTTGAGGATTTTTATTTCGTGTATATATTTATAGGATTTTTTTAATATCTTAAAAAACAGGGATTTTTTTCCGGGGAATTATTCTCCTAGATTCTTAATAATGATGGTCATGTGTCCCAAAATTTTATTTATCAAATTTAAATCCTGAGAGGAACAGTATATAATATTAATTTTTTTAAAATTTTCTCCCTAATTATTTTATACGTTTCGATTCTATTTATTTTTCTTAGATGAGGCTGTGGAGCCGATATAGGTTATTGAATTTTTTTACAAATTGTTTTAAATTATTTAAGGATTAGAGTCATATAAACTCATCAATGATTCCTTGAACGACCAAAAAACGATATCAGAACCAAAAAAGTATGACATTTTTTTATTACATAATTTACAATCCTATTATTATATTAAACTAATATATAGTCATTTTATAACTGATTGGCATCGTTTTTTACAACTAAATATTTACCAGAGAAACTCATTTCAAAAATAAATTAGCCTACCATTGATATTTTTATAATTAGAAAAGATACCAAAAGACTTGAAGAAAATTTATATACAGAATCGGATTACAATATTCATCCCAAGAAAATTAAACCTATAAATTCCGTAACCTATTATTATCCTGCCTTTCAAGGTTGCAGGAGTGTGGAAGAGTATCAGTGCTTGAATAGAATCGAGGAAGGGACTTATGGGGTCGTTTACAGGGCTAAAAACAAGAAAACCAGTAAATTTTATTTACAAGAATTTGATTTTTCCCCCCACTACTTTAGTAATTAAGGTGATGTGTATATTAATTTTAAATGCTACAAATTTCACATATAATACTAGAGATATACTGGATCCAATTTTTTAACACAGATTCTAAAAATTTTCATTTACTTGGAAAAAATATTTATCAATTCCCTTATACATAAAATGTATAATTTAAATCAAAAACAATATATTTAAATTTTATATTATTCAATATTTTATTCATCTAGGGATGTTTTTTATGTATAACTACTTTCTACTTTAATTTTATATTTAAATTCTAAACAAAATAATATATAAAAATATTTTTTTTAGAATTATAAATTTTTATTTTAAATAAATGCATTAATTAACATAATATTAAAAAAGAACCAGCTATTAGAAAAAACCAACCAGATACCACTATCGTCCTGGACCTGATGTATCTCTAATATTTAAATAATAAATAGAGTAAAATCAGATAAAAATTAATCTTGACTCAGGTAAAAGTTATCATAAAAAACCAATATTTTTGATATTTAAAAAAAGATGAAATAGTTGCTCTTAAAAGATTGAAAATGGAGAAAGAGAAAGAAGGATTTCCTATCACATCTCTGAGGGAAATCAATACCCTTATGAAAGCGCATCATCCCAATGTTGTGTCTATATTGGTGAGTTTAATTTGTTTTACATATTACATATTATTTATTCTATGAACTTACCCAAAATGAAATAAGATGCTTATAAGACTACAATTTTAATTAGGTTCCTTGGTTTGATTTTACAGATAACATATTAGTTTTAATTCTCATTTAAAAAAAATATTAATCGGTATAGTTTTAGATAGATTTTTTTCGAAAATAATAAATATTATGATATTTCTAAATTTATTGTTTATAAACTTAAACTAGTACCTTTTTTTCAAATTAGCTTTTGTACATATAGGTTTATAAATTAGCAATTATTTTTTTGTGATACTGTGAACTAGAGGTCTGCATTGGACGGGGTTTCGGCCCGCTCGCCCTAAGTAAGCGGGCGGATGGGCGGGTAAAATTTTTTTCAAGAATAGCAGGCGGGCGGGTTAAAATTTTTTTGAAACTATGGGTGGGCAGGTTAAGAAATTTATACAATGGGCGGGCAGGTTAAGGAAATTTAAAATTTTTGTTCAAAAACAAACTAAAGAAAAATTATAATTATTATAATGTTCAATAACAATATTTCTTTTTTTTTTATTGTACCAATCGTTTTTTTAAGTAAGGAACACTTTACTAGTTTTTCGACATCTTTATCTAATTGTTCCCACCATATATAATGTCTTTGCAATATACGTAAAACTCTTTTTTGAAGTGAGTAACACCATCATCATTTTCTATTTCATCTATTCTTGTTCTAAAAGCTTATAATTCTGGTGCTTGATTTTGTATTATTTGTACCATTTATTAATCTTTTTGTTAGCTTTCGTTCCCTCGTTGGATATCGGGGTTGAATTCCTTCTTGGCTTGGTTCCATTGTTTCTACTGTTTTATCATCTCCTAGCTTTATTGATTCGGCTGGTATACGGAAACACTTGATATATCTTGCATTGTTTTTGACATCCAAGCTGTTTACTAGTTTTTCGACCTACCATAAATAATGTTTCGTAATGGATTTCATTGATGTAATACCGAGATATGCAATATATGTAAAACTCTTTTTTGAAGTGAGTACAGGATGATTAATCTGTCATTTTAAAATAAAATAACATCATCATTTTCTATTGCAACTATTCTTATTCTGAAAGCTTGTAATTCTGGTGCTTGATTTTGTATATTTGTACTATTTGTTAATATTTTTACTCTTATTAAAATTAAATCTTTTGTGGTTTCATCTCTAAGTTCTTTTCCTGAAAGAGTTAATGTATCTTATAAGTAAGATTTCTTATATATTTCACTATTTTATTTTCACTTGTTATTCTATCATCATTTTTCTCTATTGGATTTCGCGATAAAGCATCTGCAATTATATTATTAGCGCCATTCTTGTACATTATATTATAATCATATGCAGATAATTTATAAGCCCAACGTAATAATCTATGGCTTGTTAATGAGCTTAAATCTCTGTTATTACCATATATCTTTATTAAAGGTTTGTGGTCTGTTCAAATTTTAAATTTTCGTCCTTACAAATAGTTATGAGATTTTTCTACACCGTTTGTCTATTGTAGAATAATTATTTTCAGCGTCTTGTAAAGTTCTGAGGTGTAATCTATTGAAAATTCGTTACCATTATCATATTTTTACGTGAATACAGCTCCAAATCCTTGGTTAGATACATCTGTTTCTCATATTAACTCGAGGTCTGGTTTATAAAACTGTAAAGTATTTTGTTCTGTTACTATTCAGAATAGCATAAAACGATAACAAAAATATCACGGTATTTTATTTTGGAATGGCAGATTTATCATTTATTACTCACTTCAAAAAAGAGTTTTACATATATTGCATACGGGACATCCAGATCTCACTTAAGGAAGAGGATATTACTTCAAACAAATATCCTTCTTTGGTGGAAACGACAAGATATTTGCCAAAGCTATCAAGATTAGCAAGAAAAATATTGGCAATTCCTGCAACTAGTGCTTCTTCTGAACGAAGATTTAGCATTGCTATCCAGAAAATGTCGATTCATTATTATTTTTGCATTATAATTACAAACAATATCAATTTTATATTTATTTCATAAATATTCTATTTGATCAAATAAATTGTCTTTAAACTGAATATTTTTTTTGATACTTTAAATTAATTTCCTAAATTATAATGCTGAAATATTTTTATTAGATTTAAAAAATTGAAAGAATGGCCATAATCAAATTTTATTAGCAGACTTGGGTTAAATTTTTTTATAAATAATGGCCGGGCGGGTAAAAAAATCTAGACTAATGGGCGGGGCGGGCGGGACGTTATATATTTTTTGAAAACTATAGGCGGGTTAAATTTTTTTTAAACATTAAATGCAGACCTCTACTGTGAACCTCCACCAGGATACAATATTTTGATAATAGTTAAGCATAGTAAAGTGCGACTTAACTGGGCCATAAAGAAGGATTAGCTTTTGGTTACTATATAATTTTTATTTCAGAGACCTGCAGACTCAAAACGGGCTGATAAATAAAAATATTTTTAAAGGGCTGGACCGGTCTTAAATTAAAAACACAATTTGGTCTGGGCCCATTTAAAAAATGCTTATATTAATTAAATATTTGTAAAATCATATAATGTTCATTTACCACTCATATTTTCAATCTTTGAAACAATTTGCAAATCAAATTATTTTAAAATAATGAAAATTTAGGTATTAATGAAATATGATTTTTAAACCCTGGCCAGGCCAAATATTTTGACCTCTGCAAGTCACTGATTTTTTAATTAAATTATATTATTTATATATATTAGTCCTTTTTTTAGTTTAAAAATATTAAATATTATAATCTTATAATATAATAACCCTCAGGAAATAGTTGTTGGAAGTAATATGGATAAAATATATATTGTGATGGAGTTTGTAGAGCACGATTTGAAATCACTGATGGAAACTATGAAACAACCCTTTTTAATTGGTAATTTGGAATTTTTATTTCTTTTGTTTCTAAATTTATACGTGGAAAATTATTATTTTTAAATCGAGAGAATGAGCCAATTTTAATTACATATTACCAGAAAAGAAATAGATAATATTAGTCAGATTAGGTCACATTTATTTAAATCTTATATATTATACTTGAAATATTTAAATTATAACCTATTATTTTTTATATACAAAAACATACATATAGGGTTGCCAGAAATTATAATTGGGATATATATAGCGTGAATTGGTGTTATAACTCCATTTTTCCGCTTTCTGCCATGTATTTATGCCCAGACTCTTTGTTATTTCATATTTAAAATTTTTTAACCATAATTTTTTAAATTTAATTTATAATAATTTATTTAAATTTCAGTTGTATCTTTTAATACTTATTTAAAACTTAAATGATAGTATAGGTTATATTCCTAGTCGAAATATTAGGAATAGTGCTAAGTTCAATTTAAGTTTTAACTTACTATATAAGATTAGATGCGATAGAAATATAAGCTAAAGTTATAACTTGTCATTGCATTATATATATGTTACAGTCAATTTGCTTAATTAGCCAATTCGAGCCCTATTATCTATTATATAAATTAAAAATCACTCATAAAGTTTATGACCAAGTTGTCTGAAATTTATAGGACACACAATTCTACAGATGCTGGAACATATTTTTGGCAAAATCAGATTTTTCCAATATAAAAAAAGGTGCTTCAATAAATGAATGTTTGCTATTTACGAACTTTATAAATTATTTTGCCTTTTTTAAATTGGAATAATCTAATTTTGCCTGAAACGTATTCGAGCATATGCGAAATCTATCGTATAAATTTAAGACATATTTATAAGATATTGCACTTACACATGCTGATTAAGGCAATACACGTATTGACTCATTACATAATTGAGACTCTAATCTAAATATAACCTTAACTCCATATATACTTTACAATTCGATATATAGATATTATCTCTTATCTGTATTAGTTACCAATCCTAGAAAGTCAAATGCTCTATTATCCATTAGCTCCATACATTATTAGGACAAAAATATTCCTCAACCGTGGTTATATGACTGACAAATCAATCATTTTAATTTGATATTTTATTTTAAATAATTTTAATTTCAATTTAAAAAATATGAATATGATTGGTGACAATTGATCATGCGACACGTGATTAAGGGAGGAAAATAGATTTTTTTTATTCAAATAGTCATACACCTTATATTTGTTTTCCATGACAAACCTAAAAGTTTTTTATAACGGTTTTTAAAAATTTGAAAATTTTGGCCTTGTAATCTATATTAAAACGTTATTTTTTTATTAAAATATTTATTGCTACATTTAAAATATATAACCGAAAGAAATAAAAGAAAATACATATAAAAAATTATACCATATTTTTTAAAAACCAAGAGTTTATACCAAAACACGTCGTAACTTGAAAAACTTCGAGCGATGGAGTATATGTTGGCTGATGTAAAACTATTAATTTAAATCGCCCCTGCTTATGTGTTTTTCCTCCTAGAGTTTTAATTCCGGAAAGAGTATAATTTTCAAATGTCCTTAGATTAGAGTAGACTATTGAAATAAACAGGACATACTATAAATTCGTATTTGTTTTTTTTTGAAATATCTGCACCTAGAATATGTTGGATTTTGTAAAAAAATTTGATAAATCTTAAAATGTCAAGGGGGGGGGGAATTTTCCAATAAGGATTATGCTATTGGGGTTTATTATCACTTGAAAGAGCCCAATAGGTTTTAAAACAAAAAGATTTTTGGCGTTTGGGAAATGATCAGAATTGTGTCCCTGGTAATACCTACAATGTAAAGGTAGTATGCTTTAGTGGTTTAAGGTTGATTGTAACCTAACCAAGTGGTATGTGTTACAACATCACAACCGAGGCAGGACTATTGTTATTCTGAATTGCTCTGCAAATAAATTCAAACTGAGATTTATGACCAAACTTGGAAGTTAGGTTTGACATGTTTAGAGTGGACTACTAAGGGAGCATCACATGTTTTTGACTTTGAAGTCTGATAGGGGAAATAAAATTGATATCCTTCCCAAGAGCCAAAGTTAGATCACCGAGAAAATTATCTGTGATGTGAACAAGATTGATTCGAATGGCTCGCCTTGAGAAAATCAAGTGGATAACGAAGATGATAATTAAGAGTAAATCCTAATACCTCCCGAATTGGAGGTAGGGCGGCTTAAAGCTATGAATGATTTTTAAATTTAGAATAGGTTTCAAGAGGATTTTGAATTTTAAATTCTTGTCCTATAAGAGGTTCGTCATTTTTAAAAATGAGAGAAGATCGAAGTGTGTATGATAGGATTGTTAAAAATAAGTGGTGATTTGGGTCAAAGAGGGGTTTAGATTTATTTAAATGGTTTTAAATAGAATAAATCAATGGCCGGCTCGCCTCCAATAGGGCCACAAATGGGTTATTTTGTTCCTTTCAACACATCTATATGGATGTGAAAGGATCTAGGGTGGAGTATATGAGACAAATTTCACATTTTGTTTTTTAAATCATTAAAATATGATTTTATTGTCGTATGTTCAATTGTCAATGTGATCAAGTTTAATTAAGAAATTAATATATATCCATTTATATATTAATATTAACTTAAGTAATTATGTTTGCCTAAAAAGATTCCTTTTTATAATAGATTGAATTAATATTTACTCTAAGTAAGTTATAAATAAGGATACACAAATTATATATTTTTCGTAAATGATAAGATAAAGTATTTTATTTATTTTTTGCTTTTTGTGAAAATTTCCTACTTTAAAAAAAGCTATGTAATAAATAAAAGATATTTGTATTTTATGAGTATTGACAATGGAATATAACCTATGCAATAGTAGTTGTTTTAACTCTCGTCACAATTACATTTTAAATATATTTTTTTTACCTAAATTTTAATCCATTTCTGTTATATATTGACCGGCATATTAGAACTCTCAGTGTTACATGCATATATATATTCCCAAGAGAAGATTGGCGACCTTATATGTATGATACTACAAACATAATGAATGATTCTGACAAAGGTATAATTGACTCTTCCATGTTTTGTTTTTATATTATCCTCCTAGAATATCAATTCTTTAAAAATCTCTTATAAACTTTTTGATAGGTCATATCATCCATATTGCTTACATTATAATTTGAGTTCTCTCATTTATTTAATTTTTTTATCATATTGTAAATTATTCCTATAAATTTATGAGGAAAAAAAATTATTTCGAACAGCATAGTTCTAAAAAATTTGTCAATGCCCCTATATTCCGCCGTTTTTTTGAACACTATTATTTTACTAAGAATTTAATTTTTTTATTATAGGTAGTATATCTACTTATAAAATTTATTTTAATTGAATAAAAAATTGTATACTTTCCCAAATATAATTTAATTCTTTTGATTTTTTAAAATAGATATTTTTTGGAAAGTAATTAAGAGGTAAATTTTTTTAAGTAGATTTAAAAAAGTGCCATATGTTATTTTTTTGTTATAGATATTTCCAGACATCCAGCCAACTTCGAAGATTTTTAGTGATTTGGGCAGGGCTTTTAACTCACCCAGAATTGTGAGCTTATAGGGCAAATTTTTAAAACTCGAATCTATTTGCTAATTTTCTAATTGAACCTGTTTATAAAAATGTTTGGTTTTGATTCATATCAATTTTTTTTAACATAATAAATTAAAATTTATTAAATTTTATATATATGATAATTATTTTTAAAAATGAATTATAGAGTGTATTTATTTGTAATGAAAAATAATTAAAATTATATAGTTTCTCATTTAATTTTATATCCCTTGCGGTTAAAATTTGATAGACAATACATTTATATTTTATCAACAAATTGTCTTCCTCTTTCTTTTATATATTTTATTTTAGTTCAATCAAATATAAATATACTTCTTGCGTTGCTGTAATGTTTATTAATTAAGATTTAAAAATTAATTATAAATGCTTTCGACTGATATTTGATGGATCAAATTGGTGTTTTTTAAACCGTAACTGTTTTTTGTCAACCCCTCTTTAACCGATAAAAATATCTACGAATCCTGGATTCTTGCTCCATTTACAACGACCTAGACGATTGGCTCTCTATCTCTCGAATTGTATATGGGCATATTGATTGGCCAGAATGGTATTGTTTTTCAGGTGTATTTTCAAACTTAGGTCGCCAATAAACATTCTGAATAGAAGGTGAGACATATTAATATTCCCTTCTAATGAAATATTTACTCCAAATGACTACAACACATAAATTAATAAAGGGCACCACGGCCTTTCTTTATTGCACAGCTAAAGACGATAATCATCCCAAAATTTATTCAATAATTCAATTCCTCATGTGTTATGAAGTAATCATATTTGATTGATCAATATTAATATAACATTATGCTTAGAACTCCGTCATTTGCCGTCTTTTCGAAGATATATTCCTTAATTTTTGTTCATCACTGGACGACTATCGTACTCAAAGCAATCTTTTTAGCATTTAAGGTTTCATAAGAAACTATCAACAGACATATTTTTAGTTTCAATTTATGTGAATTGTTAAACCTTTTTGTCCTAGCATTCTGCATAAATGTAAAAAATTATCTAAGAATAATGTATGTTTGAACCCCAGAAATAACACCTGTTAATTTTCAATTTTCTTGGACTATTTCACCACAAGGACTTGTTTAATTTTTATAATAATCGGTATAAATATCAAAAGTAAAATCCTTATGGTTCCATTATATTGGATCATTTGTTCACTCAGACTTAAATTTTCTCTGAATCTCCTAATTTATCTATATCGAGATTACTGGCCAGATATGAATATTGTTTAATTTCCTAAAAACATTTTTTCGACATTTTTGGAGATAAAATATGAACTTACTTCATCCTGACTAATAATGTTTCCTAAGCTGTTTTTATACGAAAGAATTTTTTGCTGGCAATTAAGAATCTAAAAATAATTTTAAAAAAATTTAAATTAGATATCGTTATTTATCAATGTTTAAAAAATGGAACATAAAAATATTTTACCTTATATCCTTGAGAAATGAATGCCTCTGAGGCTAATATTTTAAAAATTATAGTTTAGCCTATGAGTTATTAGAATATATATTTTTTTGAATTAAAATTTTATTTAAACTAATTTTTTTAAAGTTTTTCTTGCTCGAAAAAAAATCATAATTGCAATTTTAAAAGCTTATAAACTTAAACGAGTTCAAAAAAATTTTGCTTGCACTTTTAAAAAGATATGACGAAACAGGCAAATTTTTTTTAATTTAGTAATCATAGAACAAAAGAATTACCAACGCCAAAGTTGATGTCCAGGAAATCAAACATTGATGATTTTTGGTTAGATTTGAAAGATAGACCAACAAATATACAAAAATTTACTCTTCTCAAGGGAATCCTATTTTTCCTATGTCTATAAATATAAATGACGTAACTTAAATGGATTTTTATGTTAGATATTGGGATTACAGTAAATTGCTCTTTTTGGACTAAGCTGGATTTAATAATATATATAATTGGGATTTGTAAATCTCGCTCCGTTAAAAATTTTTCCCTAAGTTGCCCGCCTTTATGTAAGTCTCTTATATTTATGGCTATCTATAACAAACGTTTAATAAATCAATTGTTTTTGATAGTGTATGGTGTTATAATAAATAACTTATTTTGTGAATTATAAATAGATTTAGTAATTTAGTATGACGGCTCTTAAAACACAAAGAAGTATACAATTTTAATTTATCTTCAAATAGTATTAATCAAAATATCAGTTCGAAATTTAAAAAAAATAATATCAATTTTAATGTTCAGACTGGCATATTTTACGAAAAATCGGAAATTTGACAGGTCCTGCCTGAGTTTTTATAGGTATAAATTTCTCGGCTCGAAAATTTTTATATAAGATTTGTCTGTCACGACCCGTTATTATATTTATTTAAATGCACATCTTATATATGAGAACCATAACGTTATTGAACGCCCAATTAAACGGGTGCATTTTCTCACAAGAGTTTTAATAATGAAGCGAAGGATGAAATTATACATTAATCGACAGTTGGTTATGCCAGATTATCAAATAATTATTTGAAATAGTTTTATATTTGAAATTCGCCATTTAAGATTTTAAAATGGAATATTTTTTTAGAAATTGCTAGCAATGCATTCTCAAATTTCGAGATTTAAGCGCGTTTACTGATTCTGATTCTATTTGGACATTTATGTAACTTGAGCTCGTTCTATATGGATCTTATTGATATATTAAATAAAATAAACCCCGTTCCTTTTAAAGAACAAATCAAACGATGGCAACTCTCGAATTAATAAAATAAGATAACTTATTATTAAACCCAAATCTACAATTTTTCTTTGAAATCTTTGATAATATCGAGATCGAATATATATTCGAATGTACAATATTAGATTATAGGATATTTTCTTGCGCGCTTTTTTAGTAAAATTTTGCTCGGAATTACCAACACGAATTGGGGCATGATTAACTTAATTTCTGGAGATAGCTAAAATACTACTTATATTTTCTATTTTTACCCTTTTCTTGTTTAATTTGCCCAATCAACACCCACGAAAATTCCTCTCTTGCTGAAAACAAAAGAAGAAATATGCATTTTGTAAACAGGTCCATTTCGTTCACTACCACATTTACGGACATGGGGCCCTTGCATTTTTAAAATCAATAGCTCTCAGTGCTATCTGGCGGTCTAAAGGTCACCTATATTGTCTTAGAAATTTGCAGATCAAACTTTATCAGTCCATGGTTTTATGTAGTTTTTATAGAAATTTTTTTAAGTTTTAATATTTCAATTGCAATCTTTTTATATGGTTTTTAAATACTATTTTAATATAGATTTTATATATTGTTATTTTTAATATACTTTTTAAAATAAATAAAAATTGTTTATTTTTTTAAAAAAATGTATGAAATCCTTTATTCAAAAAAATTCTTATTGATAAATTTCTTAATATGTTTTTTTGTATACATAAATTTTGCTAAAATTCATCTCGAACTTAAAGTCGCAAAATTATTTTTTTATATTGTTATGGTTTATTATATGAATAATAAATTAATAAACAATTAAATATTCGAAATTAATAAATTTTATTTTTTTTTACCAATCGTTATCTCTTCCCTTGGACATATGTCATATAGAACCTTAAAATTTAAAAAAAAATAGGCGGCAAAATAAGAGCATCAGAACCCAAAGAATTTTATTTTTTAAAACATAATAACAACTTACCATTTTAAAATATAATTATTCATGTTTTTTGGGAACTTGTAGTCTCACCTCCTTTTTTTATTGAATGATATATTAGCAATTTATATAAATTGAAATAAATGATTTATTTAATTAAAAAAACATTTAATTTGTTAAAACCATTTTGAAAATTATATATTTTTTTAACCAATAAAAATATCTTAAAATGTTTTTAATACATTATAAGGAATTATTTTTTAATGGCTTTATAGTTTATACCTATTTGTTTCTTAATTAAATTTTAAATTACATAACTTATAAAAAAAAATGTGTTCCTTTTAACTAATTATGCAACGATTTACATTTTAGAATTAATATTTTATATCAATAAATTTCCTTTTATAAAATGATGGTTTTTTAGTCTTTTTTTTTAAAGTGAACTTTGTTCTAAAGTGTATAAATGAGGATATTGATATTATTTAGGAATTATTTTTTTATCTCTTATATTCCAATTGAATCTGCACAAAATGACATATTATTTATTCTTATTACGAACTTTTTTCGAAAACAATGGAAAATTATATAAATAATAAACTTTTTTTTAAGAAAATTTCGCAACTGCAAATGGGCCAATTTAACACTTTTTTAGCAAAAAAATTGGCAAATTAGCGAACCAGTTCATATTTTTTTATGGTTATAAAATATAATTTTAAAAAAATATTCCTACCATCAAATATAAAGGCGAAACGAAGACCCTACTCATGCAACTCCTTCGTGGTGTTCACCATCTCCACGATAATTGGATTCTACACAGGGATATAAAGGCATCTAACGTTTTAGTTTCCCACGGTGGATCTTTGAAACTTGGCGATTTCGGATTAGCCAGGGAGTATGGATCCCCGTTAAAGCCTTACACTCCAGTCGTCGTAACTTTATGGTATCGAGCACCCGAATTATTACTAGGGGCCAGTAGATACTCGACACACATAGATACTTGGTCGGTGGGGTGTCTATTCGCTGAACTGCTCACCTTAGAACCTGCCTTCAGGGGTAAAAGTGAAGTCGATCAACTTAACAAGATTTATAAGGTTTGGATTTAGTTTAAAAATTTATTTACATGATTTGTATCATTTTTTGGGTATGAGTTTTTTTTATTTCATTTTGTAAAATAATAGTTTTATCTGAAGGTTGATTTTGATTATTTTCTAAATAGAACCAAAAATTATAGATTACAATAAAAAACGAATAACAAAAATTGCAATATATAATTTTTGTTATGTTATATATTTCCCCATAAAGTCTAACTTGAATAAAAAATTATTTAATTATATATTATTAGAATCCTCGTTAAATTTATAATTATTTGGAATTCAAATTCTGTTATTTAAAATTAATTTAAAAATTTTCTCTAAACATATACATTTGGCCATTTTTTTTCCCAATTTTAAAAATGCTAATAAATATATAACCCAGAGACCTGAAGAGATACCATTTTTACAGCCCAACCCGGATTTAAAAAATAAATTATTTTGGCCTAGCTCTGGTTTTATATTTCATGCCTGGCCCTAAGAAAATTTCTAACCTACCCAGATTTTTTTATAATGTATTATATTTATTTTTAATTTTTATAGCTAATAATGACGATTTAAAATATTTTATTTCGAAATCCTGGGTATTTTTAAAACACGGAGGGGCCTGCAAGTCTCTGATGTAATCAATAAGAACAATTTAATTTTTTGTGTTTCTTTTGTTATTTATTTAAATAAACTTTCAATACTTTAACTATTGCTGTAATGTCAAACCTTACTTTTTAAATTTAAAGTTTTCACCATTGCATTACATTGTTTTTAAAAATTATTTATATGCCTGATTCTTTTAAAAATGTGCATATATACATCTATTCTGTTTGATTGCATGCCCCAATGTTTTTAATTAAACTGAATTAATATCATTTTCATATATAATTTTATCTCTTAGGACAAAAAATGGGTTATTGGTTAATTTTTAATTTATAAATGTTTAGGATTTAGGAACGCCTAACGAAACGATATGGCCTGGATATACCAATCTGCCCATGGTCAAAAAAATTAATTTCGTTACATATCCCTACAACAACATACGCAAACGATACAAAGCATCCCTTTTATCCGATATTGGTTTTGATTTGCTAAACAAGTAATTAAAATTTAATTTCATATAATATCTGGTAACAAACAAAGCGTATAGTTTTATAAACTCAATCATCATTTTTTTTATTGGTTTGGGTGAGTATTAAGTGTTGTTAAAAACAATGATTTGCGTAATTTATAAAAAAAAACAGTAAAATCAGGATTTTACAAATATTTCTTAACACTTTGGATTTAGCCAAAACACGGCAGAAAGATTTGGACGATATCTTGAAGATTAGGTAATATTCGTTATGGTTACAATCTTGATTATTGATTAACCGGTTTTTAATAAATCTTTTAAATTATGGTTTTTAACAACACTACAAGTACAAATTTATCTACCTGGCATCATTTACTCAACATTTTATTTAAAAACTAATGATTTATTTCTTTGTTTTCTAATTAATTATTGTTTTTTTATATATTCTTAGAATTCGGTTTCTTATTATATTTTAATTTTTTATTTGATACTATGATGCCCAAATTATATCAATTTAATCTTTACTAAAAAGTATCCTAAATTTGTATTTTTAAATAATAAACATCATAAAACTGATATTAATAACAAAAACTCTATAATCACATTTATAATTTTTGCACATTTTTTTCAAAAAGTATCTGGAAATAAAAACAAAATCTACTCTTATTTTTATCTTGAAAATAAATAATAAATATATAAAATTTGTTAAATCATTTTTTAAGATTCCTAACTTATGACCCGACTATGCGCATCTCAGCTGACGTAGCCTTAAATCACCCATTTTTCAATGAATCGCCTCTCCCTGTTAACCAAGCTTTGTTACCTACTTTCCCAGCGAAAAGTGAATTATCTACCTTAAATATACCCCATGTTGCCGTAACCAAGCATAGTCCTAAACCACCTTCAGGTGGCAAACTATATGATAATCTCATGAAATCGGAAATTTGTGATTCAGATAACGGTAGTATGCTTGTTTAAATTGATTATTTATATTTTAATTTCTATACATACGTTCAACAATTTTCCTAGTTTATTTAATAGAATATTGGTAGCCAATTTTTCTGCACACTAATCTAGTCTTGTTCTGATAAATAGAGGTCACTAAGTACCTACGTACTAAGCCGACTTTAAAAGATTATTCAGAATTTTTGTTAAAGTTATAAAACTAATTTTAACATTTTATTTATTAAGAAATATGCCAAAACTGGGTTTAATATTTATCTCCATTTTTTTTAATAATGCGAAACTAAATTGTATATTATACTTTATATATGTGTGGTAAATCTTTTTGGAATAAACACTAACCAAGAATCTCTTCAATTTTTAATTATCATGAGGGCTTTAAATTTGCAACATGTTAAGAGGACTTCTTACTGGAAGTCGGCCTGAACTGGCTTGTGGAAATTTTTTATCAGATTTTTGGCATGGCCTATATATATTAGATTTACCCCAGCCTATAAAATATAATTCGTTATAAATGTCATCTTTTTCCCCAGCCCATAGGCTGCGTCAATTTCCTATAAATTTCATATTATTTTGCTATATTTGTTTTTTAGTATTAGAGACTTGCACAAGATTATTTTTTGACTCGGATCTGTAGGAAAAAACATTTCCCCAACCCAATCTTAAAAATTTCCAAACTTGAACATGAAATTAATTCCATATTCTCAACCTGAAAATCAAAATATAATAAAAAATTTATTTATTTTTCAGTATGTTATGAGAAATGATCTAAAATTAATGAAATTTAAAAGTATATACAATCAAACCAAAATTTATTGATATCACTGATTAAATTTAAAATTGTAAAAAAGAATATTTCCTAATTCTGACCATACCCAACCAGAAAATAAAAAATAATCAAAATTTTCACCCAATCCACTGATCGTGTTGTTTGGGTGCATTTTGCTCCATAGATATTCTTGCAAATCTTTTTAGTAATCAGATTAAATTTTAAAATCGGCCTGAATAAATTATTTAGAATTAACAAATTCTAAATTCTCGCAAGATGATTATGGATTAAGTCATTATTCCAGGAAGACATCAACACTTATACTCTGTTATTTTAATTTTATAAAAGGATTCATATAAATTTAATTAATAATTATAGTTCCACTTCAAACACCATACTGAATCATGGTCCTGATTCAAAAGTACTGACCTTTACTTATAAAAGGAATTGTTATCTATCTTACACAATAAAAATGGATAATATCCTTATGCATCTTTAAATTCAATCAATATTTTTTTTATAGGTAGTTCTATGACTTCGGCTGAATACAAGCTAAAAGCACAAATCTTAGCCGGCCAATATAAATCTTTGGGTCTTCCTCTCCCACATTTAAACTCTAATCTTAATATAAACCCTCTTCTCGCCTCCTCAACTATTCCCCCTTTACTGCCCAATAGACAATTTCATCAGAAACTGTATATCGACCCAGCCAAAGCAAGTGCTTACCTATATAAATCTATGGTAACAAATAATACCTCCACCTCATCAACTTCTATTTCAAATCAAACTATCTCACAAACATTCGACAGCTTTATCAATAATGAAATCGATATTCATAGTTCTAAAAGTAAGAGAAATTATCGAAAGAATTTATAAATTCTCGTTGGAATTGATTTCATACTATGCTTTGTTTTTCCGTTTTAGGTATAAAAACAAATGAATATGCAATGTAAATATAATCGGAAATCATTGAATTATTTATAATTGTTGATTAGATTATTATTCCTTACAATGATATGTATATATATAATTTATATTTTGATTTAATAGAATGTGTGATGTATATATGAATAAAATATAATAATACCACAATTAGTTTGGAAATTATGAGTTATATTAAATTATCAATTAACTCTCGAGTGGTAACGTTGAAGAAAATAATAGGAAATTTAACCTAAGGGATAGTTTTTTGTATACTTAAAGCTAAAAGTTTGCACAATTCACACAACATCCTAAGAGTCTTATTCTAGTTTTTCTTAGGATGTCAAAATTTTAATGATCTTTTAGTAAACATCACATTTAATAACAATGAAAGACTAGTTGTTAAATTTTTTAATCCTAAAAAAATCATACTAAGGTGATAATTATTGGGCATTAACGCCATTTTTGCTCCTAAGATTAAAAAAGGATCAATAACCAAATCAATAAAATTTTTCAAACATAAATTTTATCTTATAAGTAATATCATAAAAACGAAAAACTTGCATGAAATATATACTCAATTTGATGCTATAGAGATTTTAAAAAACGTGGGGGATTTTTATTTAACCAGTCAAGGGTAGATCTGATATTTATTATAGCATAGGCCTAAAAATGTGGATTTGGGTTGATCCCCCAATTCATTTAAATTATAGAAATTAATTTTATCATTAAAAATACCCCCTTATGAATTTTAAATTTCTTTTATTTAAAAAGTGCGCTACGACATTTTTTTAAAAAATGACTAATTGACCCGAAATAAAAATTGAAACGCTAAAAATTTAAGAATTGTTAGTTTCCACTGATTCTTATTTATTTTGGAAAATCGAATAGTGCTCATAAATTGATCGTTTTGTTGACGATTTAAAATAAAACATTTCTAATGGTATTTATATTGATGAACTTTTTATTTTACCTTAAGAAAAGTCAAAATAATTGTATTTTTTTGAAAATTACTATAATATTGAGATATAAATCAGAGACCTGGAGTATTTTAATTTTTTTTAAATATACCCAGGAGGACTAAGATTTTAGTTAATAGTAATTTAAGTGGGACTCAAAATTTGGTTAAATTGAGAGCTATAATTATCAAGAGTCATAGACAAGTTTAATCATTAATATGACAATGACGAAGCGTTAAGTTTACTACTTGGGAAGCAATTGGAAAATATTTTTTATTTAGTAATCACTAGTGCTGTAAACATTTCTAAAAAAATAGAACACGTTCATGTTCAAAAAAAGGAACACGTTCACGATAAAACCGTTCAAAATTTTATGATAAATTTTTTTTTAAATTAAATTTAATATAAATATAACTTATATTTTTTAATACAATATATTTTAGCCATGTTAAAAGATAATATAGTTTTTAGGGTTGCATTTTTTTCAATAACACTTAAGTTTATTTTTAATAGGTTCGTTCTGTGGAAGTTTTATCCATGGCCATTGAAGTTTGAATACTGGATGATTGATCCTTATATATATGTTCAAATCTTTAAAAAAATAAAATATATGTAATTAATTGATAGTGATAGGTTTAATACCTTTTATTAATCCCATTTAATACGGTGTCTATCAATGGTTGACCATATTTGAGGTCACTAATTTTTTTAATTTTAAAATAACTATCATTATTGTTGGGGTCAAATATCCCAAATGCATTATTTCTTCAAATTTAACGATTTAACTTAGTTATATCATATAAAATCAAATAATTAATATTAAAATCAAATGTCGTTTTAAATTGGAACCAAAAGATTTTGACAATATAATACTTTTTGGCCACATTTTACACTTGGTAAGCATTGGATTAGTTCCTTCAATATAGGCTGTTATGTATAACATTTATCATATTTGGCCATAGTAATGATAATTCATCTTATTTTGGATTTTCAGAATCAGATGATGAGGATTAAATAACAGTATCCATGAATGCTAATCTATTAAATTAAAATATAAACAATAATATTCAAATTAATAAACTATGTGTTAAAAAAATTGAAATGTGAAAAGGAAATACACAACCGTTTTAAAAATATAAATAATACATTTTTTAAAAAAATTCGATTAAATTTTTCAAATAAATAAAAATAAAAATATTTTTAATATTGAACGAACATTAAATTCGAACGCGTTCGTCATAAAAAAGGAACACGTTCACGTTTAAAGTTCGTCATAAATAAAAGGAACGCCGTTCATCATTTTTTTCAAACGAACGCGTTCATTTATCATGAATGCAATATCGCGAATGTATTATCGCGAATGCATTACAACTAATGTATTATCGCGAATGCATTACAACGAATGTAATATCACGTATGCAATAGTGATTTATATTTGAAATGGTTGATATAATTAATAGAAATATTAAAATTCTTTGCTACTTATCCACTTACTTTCTAATAAGTCATCATTAATATGTTTTTATTTTTTAAATATATCGGAAACCATAAATTTGTTACCTTTTGGAACTTCCTGGCCGATAATATTTTTCCACCGGATTTCTATTTTTCTTAGGAAATTCTTTAGACTCTCTGATTATAAGTAACTCATTTAACAAGTTCACACCTTTTTCAAAAAATCAGAGAACCAGCCTAATTGATGTTTCTATATTTTAACGTAGCGTTTTTAAATTTTTATAACTGACACGTCACTTGTTATTTATGATATCACTTATTATATTCGAAAATTTGTAATACTAATATTTGACAAAAAATAACTTAAACCCTCATTTATTTTATTTATTTAAAAATGGGCTAGATGTGTTCCCATTATGTAGTGTTATTAAACGGCTCATTTTGAGCCTATTTTTTAAAACGGCTAACTCAATATTGTAACCAGAATAATATTACCTAAACCTTGAGATTTCGATGATATTTGTCAAGACCTTTGTTCCTTCTATAACCAAAATCATCAGGCTTGCATAATATTTTTCTGGATGAAATAATGAGTTAGCCGTTTTTAAAAGTGGACTCAAAACGAGCCGTTTAACAACACTACCATTATGTCGATCTACAGACACTCGCCTTTTTTCAAATTTTTTCGTAATTATAAATTATAATGCAAAACACAAAGCATACTTTGAGATCCATAAAATTATTAATGTAATTAATCTATACTTTTTTCTTGTAACACCTAACAATAACCGCCAATTTGATTATTTCTTGCAAAATTAAGGCGGGCCACATTTTACCAATTTTTCTTTCAAGTTTGTAAGATTCAAAAGGATGTAGTCTATTGATAATTTTTCGGTATATGGTACCCGTATTTTGAGTTCTCATTAAAGCTTGTTGAACTGGACGAATATTCCACTTTTTCCTACAGAATTCAGGAATTAAACTTCGTTCCAATTTTTCTTCTCATGGAATAATTTTAAGTCTTTAATCATATAAGGAAAAAGACTCCTCAGGAAGCAAGAACCTAACATGAATCAATTAAGGAAATCATTATTCTATTGTTTTCCCAATTCTTGAGTAACAATAGTCGCAATTTCATTATCAGAGATTTCATGAATTTAATTCTTAGATGTGTAGCCATCAATTCGACAATTTACCTATGATGTTGAATATTGTTTCATGTCTTGTGATTTTGACCTTGTCTTTTTGATTAAGCAATAAGAACTTTATTAACAAAATATACTTATCAAGTCAATAGTAAATCCCTCACCAATTAAAGCATGTTTTGTCAAATAATAATATAAATGATTTTCGAGGACTTATTTTCTGTTTGGCTCAATGTTTAAGATTTTTCTTAGCGCCTCGCAAATTTAATTTATTTCAGCCAAAGCTCTATCTAAAATCTTTATTTATTTAAGCTAGCCATTATTTAAAATTTTAGGCATGTCCTGTCCCAAATTTAACTGAAAAATATAACTAAACGCATATTTAAACAATCAATTAATATAAAAAATTAATTCCTTTATCCTTATCCTAGAGAAATCTATTTTATTGCATAAAATCTTTTTTGCATATTTTGAGTCAAAAAAATCAAAAGCCTTAACCCTATTTTCAAAAAAAAATGTTCTTAGACCCAACCCCGACTTTAACTTAATTTCCAGGTTCAATTAAATCTGCTCAAAGGCCAATTAATATAAAATTGTAATTTTCATCAAACTCCATTCCCGACAACTGATGTAAATCATTTAAGATATTGCATTCGCGATTAAATTCCCCTAATACATTCGCGCTAATATATGCGATAATGCATTCACGATAATTCATTTGCTATAAAGCATTCGCTGTAAAGCTTTTGCTGCAGTTCATTCGCAATAATATCGCGGTAATACATTCGCGATAACACTTTCGCGGTATTACATTCGCGCTAGAACAAATAACGTGTCCTAAAAAGTTTTTGCCTATTCTACGGAAAATATTTAAGGTATATTGATTTATAATTTATTAAAAATATATTATAAATTTTTTTCATTGAGGAATAGATTTTTCCTATATTATGGAAGACTAATGTGAGAAAGAGCAAATGATTTTAGAAGAAAGATTCAATATAACGCATAAAATGCACCTAAATTTTATATAAATTCAACAGAATCGTAATTAAATATTGTAATAGAAACAATTAGCCTCAAAGGCAATTAAATATATGATGAATTTTAAATATATATATTATTAATTGTGTACGACGATTAATTGTTTGTTTTGTTAAAGATATATATACTGCGGTACAAAATATAAAAAAGAGTTAAAATTATAATAAAATTTGGTATCACTATAACGCAGTCGATTCAAATGGAGAAATATAATATAAAGGAGTGCAATATGGAAGTTTATTTATCAAAGATGGAATTCATATTTAAAATCGCAAAAATAGAAGACAAAAAATCATTTTTATTAGCGAATGGATTAGAGGTTTATTCTAAATTATTTAATTTGTGTTTGCCAAAGACATTAGAGGAAATATCATATTATGACATAATTATACTTTTAAAAAATTATTATATGAAGAAGACGAATTTCATGTTAGAAAGATA